GTCAGGCGGGCCTTCCTGAGCTCCTGGCCCATGCGCGGGGCTTCATGCGCCAGGCCGCCTCGCCGCCTACACTCGTTTCCCTGTCTCATGTCGAAGTGCTTCCTTTACTGCGGCGATTGGGGGCGCGGCCGCACGACGCATTCGCGCGCAGAATTATTGAAGTATCGTATATTCCCTTCGCGGGGTCACGGGGGGATATCGGTCGGGCTATTCATGATGTTCTGGAAAATCTCAGGCGCAGGGCGCGGGATCCTGGACGTCGGTGACACTGGCAGGGTTTTGAAGCAGGGCCTTCAGTTACTGGTGGCACCTGCACCCGATGGGTGCTGCATGCGCTGTGGCTGCTAGTTGCGTGGCTGCCTCCAGGTCTCGACTTTCGTTGCGGATCAGGCGTTTGAGAGTTGTCGCATTGAAAGTGCGTTGCCAGCGCGGTTGTGGTTAGAGTGCCAGTTCAGTGCAGTCGCAGGTGTTGGCGCCATTGTGATTGCGAGGTGCAAGCAGTATAGGGCTATGGCCGCCGCTCGTTCCTGGAGTCGTGCCTGGCGGGCCCTACCCCTGGAGACCTTGCGGAGAACCCTTCTAGCAGGTCTTGCATGTAGTTTTGTCGTGGCCCGGAACCTAGTCTGTGAGCTTCTGGGATTATGCATTGGGGGATCTATCAGTAGTGCTGCCGTCTCTGTTCGTCTTGCGCATGAAGAATTCCTGATGCTGGGGAATGTGGCGAAGTTAGGGGCTCTTGATTTCTGGTCATATCCACCTATAGGAGCAGCTCTGAAGTGGCGTAGGCATGTGGATGTTCAGATGTCCTTTCGTCTCTGTTATTGTCCCGCCTGCATGAAGATTTTCGTGGCAAATATGTTTTCTGAGCCTGTATCTGTTGCGTTTCAGTCCACGGGGTGTCCGACGCGATGAGATTTTTGGGTGTCTCTTTCCTGATGGTGAAGTAATAGAATGGGTGAATCTGGGATGTCGCCTATATTCGAGGTCGCGTAGCTGGATTTCAAAAAATCAACAGCGTCTCTGGATCTACGGGGCCTCGAAGTGCCATCGTAGTGTTCTTATGCCTTGACTGGGTCGTTTACCATGCTCATTCGCGCGTGTTCGAGCCCCGCTGCTCAGTGAGCTAGCTTCTGCTCGCTCGGCTTGCTTATCTCGGGCTCTGATGTCGATCGTTGTCGTGGAGTGCGCTCTCGAGCTTCTGAAGCTTGGATGTCCGATGGCTTTTATCACCAAGTTTGTTCTATCCTTGCCACCGTCGCCATCTGTGCTCAGTGCTCGTCGATTGTGGCTTTCCCAAGTGCGGTGCAATGTTCATGTTCGACGTCGGTGGATCTTAGCCGCCCGCGTGCAACGGTGACGTCAAGGGCGATGGTGGTAGAAGCATTGGCAGTGGTTCTGGCAAGGGATGCGGCTACGGTGGCTCGCCCTACAAGCAGCCGCGTGGATGGAATGATCATCGTGGCCGCCGTGGTGATCTTGGGGGTCGCGGTGAGGATCGCGGTCGCTGGGGGGCCGTGCTCGTGGCTGCCGTTGCTGCGAAGACTCGCCTGACTCGGAGGAGGAGTTTCGCTGTGCAGAGCGCCTCCTTGCCCAGCGGTGCCCGCAGTTCGCCCGCTTCCGAGAGCGGGGGCAGGTGGTGTCGCGTGACGAGGACTACGAGCGCCGGGGTGAGATTTTGACGACTGTTGTGGGCCCCAGGCTTATACGGGCTCTCTTTGCGATCGCGGTCCCAGCAGGTCCGCGTGAAGGGTTTGCAGCGTGTTCATTCTCGCCGTGAGCTTTCCCTCTTCAGCCGCCGCCGCATGCCCCTGCCACGGGCGGCCGGGTTGTGGATGGTGTTGTTTCGGCACCAGTGCATCGTCAAAACAATGCGGGGTACTGCGTGCATGTTGGCGACGGGCAATTTCCAGGAGGTACGTGAGTTCCTCATCATATCGTGGTCGTCGAATCCTGGTGTTGTCAAGCAGCTCGATGCGATTCTCAAGCGCAATTGCGAGGGCGGGCCCCCCCGCGCCAAGGGGGATATGATCCAGTGCTTCTGGGATGTTCTCCTGCAGCTGGGATGAGTAGATGATGCAGGCTTCCCTGAAGATCTGGAAACCGACGTTGAGTAGGTTGTTTATCTTTGCAGGGTCTTTACAGGTAGTTATCCAGTTTTTTTTTGTGGGTGAGTTCACCAGTTTTGTTTTGCCAGAAGTTGTGCGTGCAGGTCGTCGCCGCGCGTGTGACTTGTCTGACCCCGTTGAGGTCAGCTCCCGTTCAGCATGGTGGGTCATCATTTTTGCTTCGTTCCGCAGGCGACTTGGCTCTTGGTTTCTTTTTGGCATGGGTGCTTAACCAACGGAGAAGTGGCCCTGCAGCAGAGCAGCCGAGCATGTAAATTGAGGTGGCTGTCGCAGCCATCCTTCTGGTTTGTAGCAGAAAGATAATCATCATCACCACCATCATCACCAGCATCGTCATCAATCTCATCAGTGCCATCAGCAGCAGCATCATCACACTCATCACCATCATTATCAGCATCAGCATCACCACCGTCATCTTCGTCATTACTATCATGAGCATCGCCATCATCACCACCATCATCATCGTAATCGTCATCGTTCCAGTATCATCATCACCATCCTTCATTACCATCAGCATCATCACCATCGTCCTCGTCATTGTCATTGCTATTGTTATCGTCATCATCGTCGTCGTCATCATCATCATCATCATCATCACGAACCGATGGTTGCCCCGATGGTGTCCTGCAGCGTTGCAACATTCCCACGCCTGAGAGCGCGGCGGAGCCGTTCCCACGGCGCTGGGATTTCTGTCCCGAGGGCCGTCCCGACGGCGGGGGTGCACACGGCAGGCAATCGGCTGTCAAAACCCCATGCAAAGTGATCGCGGGGCGCGCACATGATCGTCATCCCCATCGCCATCCTCATCCTCATCCCCATCCTCATCCTGATTTCTCCTCTTCCTCATCCTTCGTCCTCCTCCCTGCTTTTCCCTGCTCCCTTCTGCTCCCCCCTGCTCCTCCCTGCTCCTCCCTCATCATTCCCCTTGGCCCCCGCTTGCATGGCCTCCTTCAGCCTCGCCTTGTCGGCGAGCTTCCCCAAGCGGCCTGGCGGCCGCGCCCTGACAGGCTCGCCGTCAGGGCCCGGCTCCCGCGGCTGGTGCAAAGGGCCTGTTTCAAACATTGTTTTGTGCAAGGGATGGTGTGTGGGGGTTGGTTTTGTACATAGCAGGCAATCTGGTGCCCCCCCAGCAGTCGTGTAGAAAAACGCAAAGTGATCGCTGGGCGCCCCCCCCGCCGTACCTGTCACAAACCTCTGCAAAGTGATCGCGGGGCGCGTGCGCATGATCCAGATTTTCGTTCAAAGTGCGCATGCTCCTTTTTTGCACGGGCTGGTGGTGTGTGTGTGTGTGTGTGTGTGCGTGTGTATGTGTGTGTGTGGCATTTCACAAATCAGGCGATATGCCGCTCCCCCCCTCGCCGTACCTGTCAAGAACCGAGGCAAAGGGATCGCGGGGCGTCCTTGCATGATCCAGATTTTGGTGCCAGTCACTTGTACAGTTGGAACCCATGCCAAAAAACACCCTGCTTGCCTCCAGGGTGCCCTGGGTCTGTTGGGTTTCGATGCTTTTGCTATGGGAATCGTGACGTTCCCACACCTAAAGCCAGCGGACGTCAGTGGACGCCCTGGGGTCTCAGGGTTGGGTTTCTTGTGGAAGGTTTCTTGTGATCGAGCTCATACTGTATGGGATTTTTGTAAGGGATGGTGGGGGGATGTTGGCATTGCCCTAGGTTTGTGGCCGGTCAGGTGGGGGATGGGGTGCTTATGATTCAGGCACAGTGAAGGATGAACCACTCCCGTCTTGTGGGACTGCCGTTGCTGCCGTGCTCTCAGGACAGCAGTCTGGTGTACACCGCGTGTGTCACCGTGGCCGTATCGCTCCCAGGAGCGGTTTTTGGTGCGGACCTCGTTGATCTCTGATGAGCCACTTGGGTCGTATTGGCTGCAGTCTTTCTGACATGGCCCAAGTTGTATTGGCATGATCCTGGCTCCTTCGTTGCCAGGCAACAGGTTGGCGGGGTACCGCATGAGGAATTCCAGCAGGCTCCGATATGGCCTGGGTAGGACCACCCTGGCCCAATCGCTTCGCTTTCCGAGGCGCACTCCTGCGTGTATCACCTCGGTCTCTTCAGACCGAGGGATTTCTCTTACGGCATCTTGGGCGGTAAACTTCCGAACCACATTCGGCCCAGTCCAATTGGAAGAGGCGGCCTCTTAGAGGCCTGTTGCGGTACCCTCGGAGGTCTTTTGGGAGCCTATTGGACGGTCTTCTCTGGAGTCTCTCGGGAGGCCTCTGGGAGGCATCTTGAGGGTTTCTTGGGGGCCTTTTTGGAATCTCCTGGCGGCTTCGGTTTCTCAGGGGACTTCTGAATGCATCTTGGGGGCTCCTCGGGCGCCTGCTGGTCCGAGGGCCATCTTGGGGTGGAGAGCTCCCAATGTCGGCTCGGGTGCCTCGTCTTGTGGGCCTCGATTGCGGCCGATGAAGGCGTGACGTCCCCACACCGAAAGCAGTGGACGTCCTGGTTTCAGGGTTGGGTTTCTTATGGAAGGTTCCTTGTTTGCCAGCTCCTACTGTAGGACTTAGGAGAAGTATGGCCTCTGGAAAAGTCATGCGAGAAACCATGAGCAGCACCATGAGCGCAATGGGGTGGCCAAGAATTGAAGGAATCAAGAACTTGGGGAAATCGAGTCGTATTTTCAAGGTCCGCGCCGGTGAGGGCATCCCACTCAGTGCCTCGCGGCACGGCTGCGGATCAGGTCGCGATCTGCAGTTCGAGCCTTGGGTGGCGATGGTCGGACTGGTGACGCCACTCGTGATTCGAGCATTTTCTTTGGGTGGAGGGCAGAGGGTGAAATCTGAAATGCCGTTTTGATGGATTTTTGAGGTTGAATCTGCAAAAGGTGAATCACGAGCGGATTGATTCTCGAGGCGCAAAAAAGCCCGTCTGGACATTTCACCCCGAGCCCCCCACCCCAAGGAGATGCTCAGGCGATGCGTTCCGGACCAGCCGTGTGGATCTGGACCGCTCGGGCTGGCACCCCACGCGTTGTCGGTATTTTGTACTTAACTCGAGCTGTAGGGCAGCTACAGAGGTCATTCTCACAGAAATCGATTGCGAATCATCAGGCGCGTTCGTCTGTTCTATCTAGAGGTCTGAACACGGTCTGCTGCCCGAGCTAGGTTCGCGCAACTATTCGTGTTGTTGATGCGGCTCGAGCGGGGTGCGCCTCAGGCACAGTACGCGCCCGCCCCGGCGCCCGTGGTGTACGCCGCGGAGCCGCAGTACGCGCAGCCCACCAGCAGCCTGGCAGGCCTCCCCCGCCCCGCGCGGGGCCCCGTCCCTGCGCGCGCTCTCGGGCCGTCGCCCGTGGGCCCCCGGCGGGGCCTCCGGAGACGCCATGGGGACCCCGAGGCAGAGGCCTCTGGCGAGGGGAACAATCAGGAGGGAAAGAAACACACAGACACAATTAATCGTCGAGTCCCAGGAAAATATGGGAAAATATGGGAATTGGGCGGGAAGACAAAAACCCAGAAAATATTGGAAAATATGGGGAATCATTTTATTTGTGTGTATTTATTTGTGTGTCCCAGGGCCCCTTCAAACAACAAGTGACACAAACATAAAAACTCGGAGGTCCGCGCGGATTTCTCGGATCGGCGCTGGACCCCCCTCCCTGGCGCGCGCAGCCCGCCAGGGGCGGCGCCGGGGGCGGCGCCGGAGGCGCCGCCGGGGGGCCCGCCGATCCGAGAAATCCGCGCGGACCTCCGAACTTTTATGTTTATGTCAATTTTTGTTCCCCTACTGGTTGCGGGCATGCTCGGTGTTCATCTCCACTGCATCTTGGACTTTCCCGGACGGCATCGGCCGCGCCGCCGGTCCAGAGGAGCGGGGAGGTGGGGGGTGGATGTTGAGGGCAACCGCGGCGCAAGACTTTGATGATGATGTTCGTGCTGCAGGCTTGAGTCCAGCGGCGAAATCCGTGCACATCAACTGTCCCTTGGCCGGGCCCTTCTGGGCCCGAGAGCTGTGTATACGCCCCCCTGGCCAAGCAAGGATGGCGTGGCGTCTACACCGCTGCCGGGTTCGGGATGGGCATGGCCGGGGAGCAGTAGATATGTCTAGATTTCGTCGCCCTCTTGAGCGCACGGAAGGAGTTCGTCCTGCGGTGCGCAAGGATGGTACAGGGCGCGCTCTGGGCCCGTGTCGGGACAGCCTGCACGCCCGGCGGGCGGCCAAGGGCGTTATGCTGGATGCAGCCAAGGGGAGAGGAACGGGCGGGGCAGGAGGAGGGATTGGATGGGTCGGCGAGAGAGGCTCGGCATCGCGCGGACTCGTGAATTTTTGTCTCGGCGAGGACCATCGAGGAGCATCTCGGATCGCCCCGCGGAACAAAAAGAAGCACGCGCACGATACCGACGAATACACGGGGAATGGACGTCCGAGCGATGCCACGGAGGGGGAGAGGGCGGAGCGGATCCGAGGAGAGGCGAGAGGATGGAGCAAGGGAGGGAGGCCGAGGGAGGACGGGGAGAGACGGCGTCGGGCTCGTAATGGGAGGAGTGCGGGAAGCCGTCGCCCTGTGGTGCCCAGCATCAGGCCAGTCTTCGTTCCCCAACCAGCGCTTGCACTTAGAGGCTCTTGCCTCTGTACTCAAGTACTGGGCCATTGTTTTCGGTGTGGCGGCTAATTAGGTGGCCGCCGTCGCCGCCCCGTCGCCGCCCTGGATTGCACAACATAGATTACACCCCATGGATTGCACCACGAATATTGCACCGCATAATAGGATGCGCCACATAGCTTGCAACGCGTATATTACACCGCATGGAGTGTACCACATGGATTGCACAACATTTTTTGCACATGCACCACATATATGGCACCACATAGGTTGCTCAAAACTTCTTATGTACCACATATATTCTCCTTTCAAAAAAGAGAATAGACTCTACCCTACCCCCCCCCGGCGTTATCCGTTCCCCTGCCGGGTATGTAGATCATATATGATTCTGACCACACGTCCATCCTAGATAGGAATTTACACCATCCCAGGGGGGCCGGGATCGGTCCCCCTGAGGTTCCCTTGTAAAAAACAGTACGCGGGGACATTTTTCCCCCTACCTAGGCTCTGCCTAGGGGGTTCTTACTTTGTTTGCTTAAAGGGGCCGGGCAGTGTAAAACGCCCTGGGCGGTTCCCCCAGTCCCCGCCCCGCGGTTTCCCCAGTTGCGCCCCCTGGGTTCCCCTTGCTTAGCTTAGCTTAGCTTACCTTGGCTTAGCTTAGCTCAGCTAAGCTAAGCTTAGCTTAGCACAGCTGAACGTAACCTAGCCTAGCTTAGCTTAGCTTAGCTTAGCTTAGCTTATCTCATCTTAGCTTAGCTTAGCTTATCTTAGCTGAGCTTAGCTGAGCTTAGCTTAGCTTAGCTTATCTCATCTTATCGTAGCTTAGCTTAGCTTACCTCATCGTAGCTTAGCTTAGCTTAGCTTAGCTTAGCTTAATCTCACATTAGCTTAGCTTAACTTAGCTTATCTTAGCTTGACTTAGCTTGGTTTAGCTTAGCTTGACTTAGCTTAGCCTAGACTAGCTTAGCATATCACAGCTTAGCTTACCTTAGCTTAGCTTAGCGCAGCGCAGCATATCGCAGCGCAGCATTAGCACATCATAGCATAGCATAGCATATCATAGCATAACACAGCCAAGCATAGCATAGCATAGTATAGCTCAGCATAGCATAGCATAGCATAGCATACCATATCATAGCATAGCATAGCATAGCATAGCGCAGCATATAATAGCATATCATAGTATATATGCAGGTGTAGATGTAAATGTAGATGTCGGTGTAGATGTAGATGTTGCTTTCCTAAATGCTCCAACTCCTAGGTAGAGTCGCACTGGGATAATGTTCTAACATAAGACTTTTTTCGCGAATCCCTTGCATAACATGGGACGAAGTGCACACGCGCGCGTCGTCGCGCGCGCATGCCGAAATCCTTCAAACACCTTCGGTGTCGGAAGGATTTCGCCATCGAGTTCCCAAAGAACATACAAAAACACAGGGTTTCGCAACACTGATTTGCAAAACCATCGTTTTTTTTCAAGATTTTCACAACATGCTACCAAACGGGCTTCGCGCGCGCGCATGTCGAAATCTGTCCAACGCCCTTGCGCGTGTGCCGTCGCGAGAATCCTCTGCAAAAAATGGGACGAAGTGCAGACGCGCGCGTCGTCGCGCGCGTATGCTGAAATCACTCAACACCCATCGGTTTCGGAAGGATTTCAAAATTGTCTGTCCAAAGAACCTAAAAAAACACAAGGTTTCGAAACACGGATTTTCAACAAAAGCGTGCGCGCGCGCTCTTGCGTCGTCGTCGTCGTCGTCGCCGTCCTCCCTCCTCCCGCGTCGTCGTCGTCGTCGCCTACGTCGTCCTCTGTCTTTACTCGTGTTCGTCGTCGTCGTCTTCTTTGGCGTCGTGGTCGTTTCCGTCGTCGTTGTCGCCGTGGTCGTCCTTCCTCCTCCTCCCTCGTAGTCGTCGCCGTTGTCCGTCATCGGCGTCTCGTCGTCGTCCCTCCTATTTCCTCGTCGCCGTCGTCATCGTCGTCGTCGTCGTCGTCGTCGTTGTCGTCATGTTCCCTCCTCCCTCGTCGTTGTCGTCGTCGGCGTCGCCGTCCTTCCTCCTTCTTCGTCGTTCGCATCTTCGCTGTCCTCCCTCCTCCGTCGTCGTCGTCGTCGTTGTCTTCGTTGTCGCCGTCGTCGTCCTCTCTCCTCCCTCGTCGTCGTCTTCGTTGGCGACGTCGTCGTCGTCGTCGTTGTGGGCGTCGGCGTCGTCGTCGTCTTCGTCGTCGTCTTCGTCGTCGTCTTCGTCGTCGTCGCCGCCGTCGTCGTCGTCGTCGTCGTCGGCGTCGTTGTCGGCGTCGTCGAAGTCGTTGGAGACGTCGTCGGTGTCGTCGTAGTCGTCGTCGTCGGCGTTGTCATCGTCGTCGTTGTCGTCATCGGCGTCGTCGTCGTCGTCGGCGTCGGCGTCGTCGTCGTCGTCGTCGGTGTCGTCGTCGTCGTCGTTGTCGGCGTCGTCGAAGTCGTTGAAGACGTCGTCGGTGTCGTCGTAGTCGTTGTCGGCGGCGTCGTCGTCGTCGTTGTCGCCGTCGTCGGCGTCGCTTTCGTTGCCAAGTGCCATTTGGTACCCACCGTCACGGTCTGAAGAGATTTTGCAAACCAAGTTGCGGGTGGGTGGGTGGGATGTTTGCGCGAGCAGTGGAGTGGACAATTCATTGCGAACAGAAATTAGGTCTCCTTTCTAAAAAGAGAATAGACTCTACCCCCCCCAGAGTTATCGCTACCCCTTCCGGGTATGTAAAGCATATATGAATCTGACCACATGTCCATCCTAAATATGAAATCACAATGTCCCAGGCCAACCGGGTCCCCCCCCCTGAGGTTCCCTTGTAAAAAACACTATGCGGTGACATTTTCTGTTCTAACATAACACTCTTTCACGAATCCCTTGCAAAAAATGGGACGAAGTGCACACGCGCGCGTCGTCGCGCGCGCATGCCGAAATCCTTCAAAAACCTTCGGTGCCGGAAGGATTTCGCAATCGAGTTTCCAAAACACATACAACAACTCAGGGTTTCGCAACACTGATTTGCTAAAAAAGCTTACGCGTGAGCTCTTACGAAATCTTAAGAAAGCCATCGTTTTTTCAAGATTTTCACAAAATGCTACCAAACGGGCTTCGCGCGCGCGCATGTCGAAATCTGTCCAACGCCCTTGCGCGTGTGCCGTCGCGAGAATCCTCTGCAAAAAATGGGACGAAGTGCAGACGCGCGCGTCGTCGCACGCGTATGCCGAAACCATTCAAAACCCATCGGTTTCGGAAGGATTTCAAAATCGTCTGTCCAAAAAACCTACAAAAACACAAGGTTTCGAAACACGGATTTTCAACAAAAGCGTGCGCGCGCGCGCTCTTGCGTCGTCGTCGTCGTCGTCATCGTCGCCGTCTTCCATCCTCCCGCGTTGTCGTCGTCGTCGTCGCCTGCGTCGTCCTCTGTCTTTCCTCGTGTTCGTCGTCGTCGTCCTCTTTGGCGTCGTGGTCGTTTCCGTCGTCGTTGTCGCCGTGGTCGTCCTTCCTCCTCCTCCTCCCTCGTCGTCGTCGTCCGTCGTCGGCGTCTCGTCGTCGTCCCTCCTATTTCGTCGTCGCCGTCGTCGTCGTCGTCGTTGTCGTCGTCGTCATCTTCCCGCCTCCCTCGTCGTTGTCGTCGTCGGCGTCGCCGTCCTTCCTCCTTCTTCGTCGTTCGCGTCGTCGCCGTCCTCCCTCCTCCGTCGTCGTTGTCGTTGTTGTCTACGTTGTCGCCGTCGTCGTCCTCTCTCCTCCCTCGTCGTCGTCTTCGTTGGCGACGTCGTTGTCGTCGTCGTCGTCGTTGTCTTCGTCGTCGTCGTCGGCGTCGTCGGCGTCGGCGTCGTCATCGTCGTCGTCATCGTCGTCGTCGTCGACGTCGTCGTCGTCGTCGGTGTCGTCGTCGTCGTCGTCGTTGTCGTCGTCGAAGTCGTTGAAGACGTCGTCGGTGTCGTCGTAGTCGGTGTCGGCGGCGCCGTCGTCGTCGTTGTCGCTGTCGTCGTCGGCGTCGGTGTCGTGGCCAAGTGCCATGTGGTACCTACCGTCACGGTCTTGTCTTGAGATGTCTTGCGACCAAGTTGCGGGTGGGAGGGTGGGATGTTTGCACGAGCAGCGGACAGGACAGCTTCAAGACGGTCAAAGTGGATTGCACCACTTAGACTGCACCACATAGCTTGCACAGCAGATATTTAACCGTATAGGTTGCACCACCTGAGTTCCACCACATGAAGTACACCACATAGAGTGCACAACATGCACTGCACCACATGGATTGTACAACGTAGATTTGCACAACCTAGATTTCACCACACACATTGCACCACATCGATTGCCAGAAAGGCACTGTTTGGTGTCCACGCTGGCTGACGTTTTCCTGCCATCCACGCCGTCATCGTGCACGTCTGAAAACCTACACCCCCCAGCTCGTCCTCTTCGCCGTCCAAGCCAACGTCCACGTCGTCCTCCTGCCTTTCCGTCTGGCAGTCCTTGCCCCTCCCGCTGCCCCCCCCCCGCCTCTCGACGCCCTGCGCTCCAGGCTACACCCAGCCGGCGGTAACGATCGAGCAGGCGGGCCCAGCCTTGGCCCTCCCTCCTTCCCTGTTTTTTTTGGTTGCTCGGGCCGTGTGCGCCTTCGCTCCGTCGCGCTGGGAGGAGGGAGCATGGTGTGTGTGTGCGTCTGCTGATGATGATGACGATGATAATGATGATGATGATGATGATGATGATGATGATGATGATGATGATGATGATGATGATGATGATGATGATGATGATGATGAGGATGAGGATGAGGATGATGATGATGAGGATGCTGAATATGATGACGATGAGCATGATGGTGATGCTGATGTTGATGCTGATGCTGATGCTGATGCTGATCCTGATGGTGGTGATCGATGATGATGATGACGTTGATGATCACGATGAAGAGGAGGATGACGATGACGATGACGGTGGTGATGTTGATGCCAATGAGGATGATGATGATGGTGATGATGTTGCTGCTGCTGATGATTATACTGCTGGAGCTGATGATTGTAATGACGACGAGAGGGGAGGAGGAGGAGGAGGAGGATCATGACGATGGTGATGACGATGTCGTTGATGAGCATGGTATTGATGATGAAGACCATGGTGATGATGATGATGATGATGATGATGATGACAACGATGACGACGATGACGTCGATGATGACGACGTCGACGATGACACGACGAGGACGACGACGATGATGCCGATGATGATGGAAGCTATGATTATGATGATGATCATGACAATGATGATGGTGGTGGTGGTGATGTTCATGATGATCATGATGATGCTGATGCCGAAGATGATGACGATGAGCATGATGCTGATGCTGATGTTGATGGTGATGCTGACACTGATGCTGATTGCGGTGGCGATGTTGATGTTAATGATGATGGTGATGCTGATGCTGCTGCTGCTGATGATAATGCTGCTGGAGTTGATGATAGTAATGACGATGAGAGTGGAGGAGGAGGAGGAGGATCCTGACGATGGTGATCATGATGTCGTTGATGAGCATGGTATTGCTGATGGAGACGATGATGATGCTGATGATGATGATGATGCTGATGATGGTGATGATGACAACGATGACGACGATGACGTCGATGATGACGACGTCGACGATGAAACGACGAGGACGACGACGATGATCCTGAGGATGATGAAAGCTGTGATTATAATGATGCTGATGATGGTGATGATGATGGTGGTCGTGGTGGTGGTGATGATGATGGTGATGCCGAAGATGATGACGATGAGCATGATGGTGATGTTGATGCGGATGCTGATTCTGATTGTGGTGGTGATGTTGATGTTAATGATGATGGTGCTGATGGTGATGATGCTGCTGATGATGATGCTGCTGTAGCAGATGATTGTAATGACGATGAGAGGGGAAGAGGAGGGGGAGGAGGAGGAGGAGGAGGAGGAGGAGGAGGAGAAGGAGGAGGAGGAGGAGGATGATGCTGATGATGTCGTTGGTGATCATGGTATTGATGATGAAGACGATGGTGATGATACTGATGGTGATGATGATGCTGATGCTAATGATACAACGATGACGACGATGACGTCGATAATGACGACGTCGACGATGTCACGACGAGGACGACGACGATGCTGCTGCTGATGATGATGATGATGATGTCGAGGATGATAACGATGATGATTATGATGATGATGATGATGATGATCATGATTATCATGATGATGGTAGTTGTGTTGGTGGTGATGATGCTGATGATGCTACTGAGGATGATGACGATGATCATGATGGTGATGCTGATGCTGATGCTGATTGCGGTGGTGATTGCAGTGGTGATGCTGATGTTAATGATGATGATGATGGTGATGATGGTGATGATGCTGATGATTATGCTGCTGGAGCAGATGGAGATGATGACGATGAGAGGGGAGGAGGAGTTGGAGGAGAAGGAGAAGGAGGAGGAGGAGCATAATGACGATTGTGATGATGATGTCGTTGATGAGCATGGTATTGATGATGAAGACGATGATGATGATGCTGATGATGACAACGATGACAACGATGACGTCGATGATGACGACGTCGACGATGACAGGACGAGGACGACGATGATGCTGAAGATCAAACTCATGGTTATGATGATGATGCCGATGATGATGATGATGCTGATGATGATGCCCATGATGATGATGCTGATGCTGTTGATGCTGATGATGATGATGGTGGTCGTGGTGGTGGTGATGATGATGCCGAAGATCATGACGATGAGCATGATGATGATGCTGATGCTGATGGTGATGCTGACACTGATGCTAATGCTGATTGCTGTGGGGATGTTGACGTTAATGATGATGGTGATGATGGTGATGCTGATGATGATGCCCATGATGATGATGCTGGAGCTGATGATTGTAATGACGATGAGATGAGAGAAGGAGGAGGAGGAGGAGGAGGAGGAGGAGGATCCTGACGATGGTGATGATGGTGTCGCTGATGAGCATGGTATTGATGATGAAGACGATGGTAATGATGGTGATGATGATGCTGATGATGACAACGATGACGACGATGACATCGATGATGACGTCGACGATGACACGACGAGGACGACGACGATGCTACTGATGATGATGAAACGTTTGATGATGATGATGATGATCATGCTGATCATGATGATAATGATGATGGTGGTTGTGGCGGTGGTGATGAGGATGATGATGATGATGAGGAGGAGGATGATGATGATGATGTCGAGGATGATGACGATGAGCATGATGCTGATGCTGATGCTGATGCCGATGCTTCGTGTGGTGGTGGTGTTGATGTCAATGATGATGGCGATGATGGTGACGATGATGCTGCTGTTGCTGATGATTATCCTGCTGGAGCTGATGATTGCAATGACGATGAGAGGGGAGGAGGAGGAGGAGAAGAAGGATGAGGAGGAGGAGGAGGATCATGACGATGGTGATGATGATGATGTCAATGATGAGCATGGTATTGATGATGAAGACGATGGTGATGATACTGATGGTGATGATGATGCTGATGATGACGACGATGACGACGATGACGTCGATGATGACGACGTCGACGATGACACGACGAGGACGACGACGATGATGCTGATGATGATGAAACTTATGATTATGATGATGCTGATGATGCTGATGATGATGATGATGGTGGTCGTGGTGGTGGTGGTGATGATGATGAAGATGATGCCGATGATGATGACAATGAGCATGATGGTGATGGTGATGCTGATGCTGATGCTGATGCTGATTGCGGTGGTGATGTTGACGTTAATGATGATGGCGATGATGGTGACGATGATGTTGTTGCTGGAGCTGATGATTGTAATAACGATGAGAGGGGAGGAGGAGGAGGAGGAGGAGGAGGAGGATGAGGAGGAAGAGGAGGAAGAGGAGGAGGAAGAGGAGGCGGATCATGATGATGGTGATGTTGATGTCGTTGATGAGCATGGTATTGATGATGAAGACGATGATGCTGATGATGCTGATGATGACGACGATGACGACGATGACGTCCATGATGACGGTGTCGACGATGACACGACGAGTACGACGATGCTGATTCTGATGATGACGATGGAAATTATGATGATGATGCCGAGGATGATGACGATGAGCATGACGGTGATGCTGATGCTGATGCTGGCTCTGATGCTGATTGCGGTGTTTTTGATGTTAATGATGATGGTGATGATGGTGATGATGATGCTGCTGATGATTATGCTGCTGGAGCTGATGTTTGCAATGACGATGCGAGGGGAGGAGGAGTTGGAGGAGGAGGAGGAGCAAGAGGAGGAGGAGGAGGTGGATCCTGACGATGGTGATGATGATGTTAATGATGATGGTGATGATGATGGTATTAATGATGAAATCGATGATGATGTTGATGATGCTGATGATGATGATGCTGATGATGCTGATGATGACAGTGATGACGACGATGACGTCGATGATGACGACGTCGATGATGTCACGACGAGGACGACGACGATGATGCTGATGATGAACATGAAAATGATGACGATGATGATGATGGTGATGGTGATGGTGATGATGGTGATGATGATTATGACGATGATGATGATGATGATGATGATGATGATGATGATGATGCCGAGGATGATGACGATGAGCTTGGTGGTGATGCTTATGCTGATGCTGATGCTGATGCTGATTGCGGTGGTGATGTTGATGTTAATGATGATGGTGATGATGGTGATGCTGCTGCTGCTGCTGCTGATGATTATGTTGCTGGAGCTGATGATTGTAATGACGATGAGAGGGGAGGAGGAGGAGAAGGAGGATGAGGAGGAGGAGGAGTAAGAGGAGGAGGAGGAGGAGAAGGAGGAGGATCATGACGATGATGATGATGATGATGATGTCGTTGATGAGTATCGTATTGATGATGAAGACGATGATAACGATAAGGATGATGATGCTGATGATGGCAACGATGACGACGACGACGTCGATGATGACGACGTCGACGATGACACGACGAGGACGACGAGGACGAAGACGATGATGCTGATGATGATGAAACTTTTGATGATGATGATAATGATGATGATGATGATGACGATGTTGATTGTGATGATGATGATGGCGATTATGGTGATGGTGATTACGATCATGTTGATATTGATGATGATGCTGATGATGATGATGTTGATGTTGATGTTGATGTTGATGATGATGTCGATGATGCTCATGACACTGCTGGTGATGATGACGATGATGTTAGTTCTGCTGCTGACGATTGTGATGACGATGAGGGGACAGGAGGATCGCCCCCGCGACTCATGCCTGAATTTTCCTACCTCCCTGGCCGGATTTTTTTCTTCATTCTGCGGGGGGTTCAACTTGTTTGCGACCCGTCAGCCCCATGACCCTTACAAAGGAACTTTCTAGGATCGCGACTTGTGAGTACTGAAGCATATTATTATCGGGATTAAGGAATCAGGAAACAGAACAGCGTGCAAGTAATACTAGTACAACTCCGTAATACAACTACTATCACAGTGATGCTGCATTACATTTACAGTGCGCTGGGCGGGGTGGGATCCCGCGTGCGAGCACCCCCGCGGCTGAGAGTTCAGTCCTCCTCCAGAAATTTAGGCAGGGGTATCCCCCGTGTTCGAATTCCTCGCCAAGGATTTCTTGCTTTCTTCCGCGGAAGCCAGACCCCTGGGTTCCTGGGCGCGCCCTGGGAATACTTTCCTTCCGGATGGCCCCCCTTGGGTTCTATGTTGGAGTCGCACGGGTGATACAGGAGGATGATGACGACGATGACGATGACGATGACGATGACGATGACAATGATGACGACGATGACGATGACGATGACGATGACGATGAAGATGACAGTGATGATGATGATCATGATGATGCTGATGATGATCATCATCATGATGCTGACGATGACGATAACGATGGCAATGGCGACGACGACGCCGAGATGATGATGAATATGCTGATGATCATGATGATGATGAGGATGAGGGTGATCACGATGATGATGAGGATGAGGATCATGATGATGGTTATGGTGATGTTGTTGTTGATGATGATGGTATCGATGCTGAAGACGATGATGATGACGATGTTGATGATCATGATGCTGTGATGACGACAGCGACGATTATGATGATGCTATGATGACGACGATGTCGACGTCCATGGATGATGATGATGACGCTGCGATTCCGATGACGATGATGATAATGATGATGATTTTGAGATGTTGATGATGCTGATGACGATAAGGATGCTATGATGCCGACAACGACGACGATTACGATGATGATGCTGATGATGATGATGATGAGGATGATAATGAGGATGAGGATGATGATGCTGATGATGATGGTGATGCTGATGATGAGGATGATGAGGATGGTGGTGATGATGATAATGGTGGTGATGATGACGATGATGTTGAGATGCTGGTGATGATGCTGATGCTGATGATGATAAGTTTGCTATGATGGCGACAACGACGAAGATACTGATGACGATGATGCTGATGATGATGCTGATGATGATGATGAGGATGATGAGGATGATGATGCTGATGATGAGGATGGTGGTGATGAGGATGATGATGATGATGATAATGATGGTGATGATGGTGATCATGATGACGATGATGGTGATGACGATGCTGATGCTGCTGATAATGATGATGGTAATGGTGATGGTGGTGATGATGATGACGATGGTGTTGAGATGCTGATGATTTTGCGGATGTTGATGATGATAAGGATGCTATGATGGCGACAGCGACGACGATTATGAGGATGATGAGGCTGATGGTGAGTACGCTGATGATCAGGATGATGATGATGATGATGATGATGATGATGATGATGATGATGATCGTGATGGTGATGTTAATGATGATGATGATGATGATGATGATGATGATGATGATGATGATGATGATGATGATGATGATAATGATGATCACGATGACGATGACGATGCTGATGATGGTTATGGTGATGAGGATGATGATGATGATGATGCTGAGGATGCGGATGATGATGCTGATGATGCTGATGATGATGATGATGATGATGATGATTGTGATGATGATGATCTTGATGGTGGTGGTAGTTGTGGTGATGATGATGATTGTGATGATGAGGATGATGATGATGATGAGGATGATGATGAGGATGATGATGCTGATGATGATGATGATGATGATGATTACGAAGTTGTTGATGATGATGATGATGATGATGATGATGATGATGATGATGATGATGATGATGATGATGATGATGATGATGATGATGGTGATGACGGTGGTGTCGATCACGAGCGGAGAGGATGGCGGCGAGGAGCTCGAAGACTCCGACTGTGTGCCACTCCACTCAGACTCGGCTCCTTGGGCCGCGGCCGGCCTCTGCTTCCTTGTCGTGCCTATGCCTCCGCCAGCCCGCCCCGCTCGACCTTTGTCCTGCTCGTTGACGTCCGCTCTCGCGCTGGCCCGTGGTGATAAACCAAAGCATCCCATCACCTACGCGACGTCGCCCGGCTCCCTGGAGCCGATGACCACGTACGCGGCGCGCCGCCCATTCGCCCCGAAGGGCCGCCCTCCTCCTCCTCCTCCTCCTCCTCCTCCTCCTCCTCCTCCTCCTCCTCCTCCCTCTTGGCGCCGTGCTGTAAACCATGTGGGGTCACCCGGATCGATCTCAGAGCCATCCAGGCGCAACTCCCACCCCAGTCCAGGGGCCCAGGCCGGGGGTTGGGAGGACGGGCGCGCCCCTCCGAAGAGGAAGAAGGGCTTTGTTTGGAAGAGCTGACCCGCTAGACCATCTAACGCCTGGAGGGCTGCTGGCACTCTGGGGTGCCCTGGGAGGACGCGGGAAGCCGAGGGAGGCCGCCAGAGAGCCTGCAGCCCTCGACAAAATGATCGTCCAAAGTTGTTGACGCGCCCCTGCAATGTCGGCCCCTCTCGCCCCTTCAATGTCACCCCCGTCTATGTCGAAGCAGAGCGTAACGCGGTCTTGGCCGGCGCGACTCGGAAGTTCCACGACGACCGACATTGGAGTGGGGGTGCCAGTAAGTCCTTCGCATGCAATGCCAGCCATATCCAGAATGTCAAATATACGAGTAAGTTGCGTCGGCTACTTTTGAGGTTTATTACCTAAGAGCTTGTGCTGATAGGTTTCTAGTAGGGTCAAAAGAGAGCATCATGACACTCCAGGGGGGTCCGGGCGGAAGCTGGCAGAAACCGGGAGAATCCGGCGGAGCTCATTCCGTGCGTGCAGGTACGCACGGGAGCCACCTCGGCGCCATCGGAGGTGCGTTCCGTGCGTGCAGGCACGCACGGGAGCCACCTCGGCGCCATCGGAGGTGCGTTCCGCGCGTGCAGGTACGCACGGGAGCCACCTCGGCGCCATCGGAGGTGCGTTCCGTGCGTGCAGGTACGCACGGGAACCACCTCGGCGCCATCGGAGGTGCGTTCCGTGCGCGCATGTACGCACGGGAGCCACCTCGGCGCCATCGGAGGTGAGCTCCGTGGGTGCAGGTACGCACGGGAGCCACCTCGGCGCCATCGGAGGTGCGGTTGAGGCTGAGGCAGGCTGAGGCTGAGGCTGAGGCTGAGGCTGATGCAGGCTGAGGCT